CCGCCCCGCGCCTGCCGGAGGCGCCCGGCGCGACGAAGGCGCCGGCGGCCGGCGCGAGCGCGGAGGCCACGAGCACCAGGACGCCAGCGCCTGCCAGAGGGGAAGGCGGCGGCAGAATCGAGGCTCGGCGGCGAGCGAGGGGGGAACTTCGAGGTTCGAACTTCGAGGTTCCAGGCGTTCGGGCGGCTCCGTAGTTTCTTGAATGTTTGCCGCCCTCGGGATGCGCTCCAGCGGCTGCGGTTCGCCGACGGCGTTGCGGGGATGCCCAGATCGTTCCGAACGGCCGCCGGAGACCCGAGCTATGACCCGAAAACTGAACTCGGCGGCGAGCGAGAGGGGGGAAGTGAGAAGGCGAAGGCCTTCTCAAAGGCGGCGGGGCTCCTCAGAAGCCCTCGCGCCTTCTGGACGGTTTTGCGTGTCTTCGGGGAAGGCTCGAGTAGGGGATCGACTACACAGTTGATTGTTCCCAACATTGATTTTCCAATCGCAACTACAAAATATGCGAAGATGACTCCGTAGATCTACAAGCAGTCTTCGCATCTCTTTTGTAGATTCGACGAGGAAAGGAATTCTGGGGTGAATCAATTCTATAGTCGATCCCCTACTCGAAAGGCTCAGGAAACTTTTCAGAAGGTCGAGGGACTCCCGAGCCTTCTGAGAAGGCCCGCCCCTTCTCACTGGCCCCTGGGCCCGCCGCCGAGAGACACAACCGAACCGATATACAGTCAACCCGTATGATAAGGACGCACGAGGCCCCAAGAAGACTCCAAGAGGCCCCCGAGAAGCGCCAAGAGGCCCCCAGGAGTCCCAAAAGAGGACCCCCAGGCGCCCCAAGGCGCCAAAGGAAGACGGAGACAGAATCGAAACACAACCGAACCGACAATCATACAGTCAACCCGTATAATAAAGACGCACTTAAATGGGCCATTGAAACGACACGCCCATTTTGTTGACCGGCTCAATTATGCCGTTTCTATTGCTGGTTCCGGCGCCGTTTCTTTTCCAGCTCCGTCGCCGTTTTTGTTGCCGTTTCCGGATCTGGCTCCAGTTCCAGAACCGTTGTTGCCGTTTCCGGTAGCCGTTTTTTACCGCTTCCAATTTCAAGAGTCCAGGAGTCGTGAAAAAACAGCCCTGCCGTTTCCGGGGCCCACTGAGAGGACGCACGATCAGGATGCAAGGGCCTTGGACGGCCACGCCGACAGTTTGCGAGCGGGGCGGTGCCAGGGAGAGCGGCAAGGAGGGACCCAGGGTGAAGGATGCAAGGCTAACCTTGGAAAGTCGCTCATCATTACCACACCGCCACGTGCTGAAAGAAGGGGTGGGTTCTTCGTCGAGCTAACTTCCCTCGCACACGCAGATCACAATTCTTCGTAGTCTCGTCCTAGTCTTCTCCTTCCCAATCCCCTCTCCTGATCTCCCCCGTCCACATAGCTCCCTCCTCATCCTCACGCCTTCCTCCCGGTCCTGCTCCGCAGTTCCGCCATCATGTCGAAAGAGAGCCAACGACGGTATGCAAAATGTTCGACAAAATCGCATTCCAGAGAGAGTGCACGCGGAAACCGCCATTGCGCCAGCCCCGCGACTCCCGCGACTGCGTCAGGCGCCCGAGCGCACCACTCTAACTTTCACAGACGAGGACGAGGAGTACGGCATCGACTCGCCTCCCTCTGCTTCCCACTCGGTCCTCCTCGACTGGATGTCTGACAGCGATACTCTCGCGCTAACGTTCCCGTTCCCGCGCTCGCGCTCCTCCACACGTACCGCCACACGTCCGACATTCCAAGGAGAACCGGTCCAGTCTGGCCACATCTCCTCTTTCTCCTGTCTCCCGGCCGTGCACGGCGACAGCAAAACAGAACAAATAACGAACCGACAGCGACACCGAACCTGACCGAAACCGACAGGCCGCATGCAATCCATGACGGCGCAACGACGCAACGACAACAACAACAACAACAACAACAACAACAACAACAATCACTTTACCCGAACGCTCAGTGTTCTCACCAGTGCCAGGGTTTTCATGCGACGCCAGCCAATACCCCCACTTTGTGGGGGGGCAGTGCAAGCTCTACCAAATATCCACACGACTCTTCGCCACCACCCACACCCAGCTTCCCGCCCTATGACGTTCGGACACTTCACTTCGTGGCCTGCGGACGACCGTGGCTACTACACTGGCGTGGAGTACACACCCACAGAAGTTGTTAAGCCTACGTTCGTACAGGTGTTGTTCGAGGACCTACGGTGCGATTCGTGTGATTTTATGATGCGCGGTGCTAAAATTCTTAAGTAGCCCAATGGTTTTTGGAGATTTCGGCGTGCGCGCGCGAAGAAAAAACGAATGTGTCCCGCATGGTATTATTTGACAGGGATGATGGCCCTGGCAGGTGCGCAACCGTTGTCGCAGAAGTTCGAAAAAGTTGCTCGCAAAAGCCCGTTTGACAGAAATGTTTAAAAAGTGTTGGGTTTCCTACGAATCCGCAAGAGCGCGCGGGATGAGATTTTGACATTTTTTTGTTGAAAAACCATTAGTTTTTTGATGTTTTTATGTTGAAATCGCTCCGAACACTAAGCTTTTGGAAGGATTTCGTCTTGCGCGCGCGAATGTCCACTTTACCTTATTTTTTGCAAGGGATTCTTGAAATTTGATTATATTAGAACAAGAAATGTCATTTTATAGTGTTTTTTGCAAGGGAAAGCGGGGGGGAACAAAACAACCGGATCTTGATCACATCGTTACCTGAGGCTTCCTCACGAAAATGATGAAAATGTAGCTGCGGCCTAGGCGGCGCAGGGGGGCCGTGCACCAGGGGCCCCAACAATAATTATTCTTTAGAATTAATAATGTTCAACACCAACAACAACAACAACTACAACAACAACAACAACAACAACAACAACAACAACAACAACAACAACAACAACACAATAACCGACCGAATCGAACCGACCGAACGCAACCGGCCGCGACGTAGCCGAATCGACCGAATCGTGAACACCTTTTGCTGCCTGCCACGAAATTTCCGTAGAACGAAGTAGTGTTCGAAGAACCTATAAACACGTTATGAGAACATACGTAAAGCCGGTGTAACACAAGAACACGATATCGGCAAGAAATGTGTTGAGAATATGTCGCGCACGACACAGCAGGTTCTGAAATTTGTCGGTGGGCCTAGAAGCAAGCCAGGACGCCTCGCCACTGCTTGACCCTTGTCCTGCCCCCTCCTCCCACCTCCTCTTGGGGACCTGCTGACCGGGGCCCATCCAGACCCGGGCCAGCCGGGCCCTGCAAAACCCTGATCCTGCACCCAGACCCGGGCCAGTGCGGCCCTGGTCCCGCAGGATCCTGCAAGAGCTGGCGCTCTGCCTGACCCTCGCCTGCACCGACCCCCGCCTCCTGGGCCCCGCCTCCTCTCGGGTCGGGCGAAAGGGGGGATAGCAAAGGGGGGGTTTGAGAATCAGCTCACGTAGCTGCCAGGATCCAGTGGGGCCTCCGGAGCCCCCCCCCAGGGCAGCACGCTCCCGGCCCGCCCCCCGAAGCCGCGCCAGGCCGTGCACGCGCGGGGGCACCCCAGAACAAGGAGGAGGAGGAGGAGGAGGAGGAGGAGGAGGAGGAGGAGGAGGAGGAGAGGGAGACACCCACCTCCGTCTCCCAGGGAGGACGGGGACGGAAGAAGGCCGGGGAGGAGCGACATAGATGGACACTTCGTCACCCGCGTCCTGCAGCCTCACCCTCGTTGTCCTCGCCCTGCTCATCCACCTATCCTTTCTCTCCTCGTCCTTCTCCGCCTCCCTCACCCATCCCTCCTCCTCGCCCCCAGGGCGGAGGCCGCCGGGCTTGTGCAGCACCCGCGCGGCGCCCGGGGGGAACTGGAGTCTGCATAAAACCACCCACTGGCGGGGGGTGGTGGGTGCGGTGCAGCTAGACGCCTGGGGTCATGCCAGCCCCAGGGCCAGTCACTGCCATCGGGGAACTCTGCAAACACATGGAAGACGGAGAAGGCTCATGGATGCGTGCCAGCTGGTCTTGGTCTCCCTTGGGCATGGGGCCTGCGGGGTTGGTTCTGGGCTCCGCTGGAGGCCTCGGGCCAGGCGACCCGCCTGTGCCGTTGAGGGGGTGCCAGGGCCCAGGGCCCTGACCTGCAGCAGCAGGCGGAGGCTCGGGTCGGCGCGCGCGGCCTCGTCATCTAAGTGGACGCGGGGCGCAAGGACGCTTTCGTGGTGAGCTCGGCGAGAGCAACAGTGTGGCGGAGGCGCCGCTAGAGCAGGCCCTCTCCTTTTCCTCCCCATCCCCCTCCCCTCTCCATCGCCCAAAGTGCTCTGCAGAGCTGGGACCAAGCAGCAGTAGGGCTTGGCTTGGAGCCCAGCGCGAAAGACGGTGCAAGCTGGCCAAGGCGGGGAGTGGGAGGAAAAGGAGGAGGAGGAGGAGCAGGAGGAGGAGGAGGACGAGGCGGAGGAGGGGGAGGAGGAGGAGGAGGAGGAGGAGGAGGAGGAGGAGGAGGAGGAGGAGGAGGAGGGAGGAGGAGGCGCAGGCGAGGAGGAACCGACCGCTCTTGTGTGTTGCCTCTCCGTTGTGGTTAAAATTCACGTCCACCCTCCTCCTCCTCCGCCTCCTCCTCCTCCTCCTCCTCCTCCTCCACTTCGTCCTCCGCCGCCGCCTCCGCCTCCGCCTCCGCCTCCTCCTCCTCCTCCTCCTCCTCCTCCTCCTCCTCCTCCTCCTCCTCCTCCTCCTCCTCCTCCTCCTCCTCCTCCCCCCTCCTCCTCCTCCTCCTCCTCCTTCCTCCGCCTCCTCCTCCTCCTCACCCTCCTCCTCCTCCTCCTCTCCTCCTCCTCCTCCTCGCCTCCTCTTTCCCTCCTCCTCCTTCACCTCCTCCTCCTCCTCCTCCTCCTCCTCCTCCTCCTCCTCCCTCCTCCTCCTCCTCCTCCTCCTCTTCCTCCGCTGCCTCCGCCTCCGCCTCCTCTTCCTCCTCCTCCTCCTCCTCCTCCTCCTCCTCCTCCTCGCCATCCCTGGTTGGCACCCGCAGGGGCGCTGGGGAGCACCATGGCTAACCCCCCAGAAATAGGACGCCGGCGGAGCCTCCTCCTGGTAGGGATGCAAAAACTGCCCTAGAGCAGAGATGGCGGCGGCACAGCGCGGCTCGCGGATGAGGAGGCGGCGGAGAGCGAGGAGGGGGAGGCAGGGGGATGGTAGGCCCAGGAAATCCAGGATTCTAGGTGAGCATCTCGCGCGCCCGGAGGCTCGCGCAAGCCTGGAGGAGGATGATGATGATGATGATGATGATGATGATGATGATGATGATGATGATGATGATGATGATGATGATGATGATGATGATGATGATGATGATGATGATGAGGATGAGGAGGAGGAGGAGGAGGAGGAGGAGGCGGAGGCGGAGGCGGAGGAGGAGGAGGAGGAGGAGGAGGAGGAGGCGCGCGGCGCTGCGGATTCGAAACAAGCGCACAACGACACAAGAGAGTCGGGAAACATATTCGGAAGCCCCAATCCTGCTCTCCTCCTGCTCCAATTCCTCCTCCTCCTCCTCCTCCTTCTCCTCCTGCGCCTCCTCATCCTCCTCCGCCTCCGCCTTCCTCCTCCTCCTCCTCCTCCTCCTCCTCCTCTTCCTCCTCCTCCTCCTCCTCCTTCTCCTTCTCCTGTTCCTCATCCTACTCCTATTTAGACTCCTACTCCTCCTTCTCCTTCTTGGGGGGGCTCCCAGGGCAGCTGCAATGGATCCTTGTGGCCCTACTTGGAAGGCTACCGACTCGAAAACTCTTCCCATGATGTACAGAAGAGGACCCCCAGATGGGGTCGGCGTAAGTGGGATCGGAGAATCGGGCCACATCGACGTGGCATCGCCGATGCATCGTCGATACACCAGCGACGTTGGCGGTGCATCGGCGACGTCGGCGTGGAGAAAATTGGGCTCCACATCGAGCCGCATGGCCAATGCATCTGCGATGCGGCACGATCCTCCGACCCCATCTGCTCGGGCCACACCGGGAGGCCTGGATCTGGGCAAATTGCGTCGGGCAAGTTGCGTCGTCGTCGTCGTCGCAGTCGTCGTCGTCGTCGTCGTCGTCGTCGTCGTCGTCGCAGTCGTCGTCGTCGTCGCAGTCGTCGTCGTCGTCGTCGTCGTCGTCGTCGTCGTCGTCGTCGTCGTCGTCGTCGTCGTCGTCGTCGTCCTCCTCGTCGTCGTCGTCGTCGTCGTCGTCGTCGTCGTCGTCGTCGTTTGTCGTCGCAGTCGTCGTCGTCGTCGTTCGTCGTCGCAGTCGCGCTTGCCCTTCGCGCAGTCTCGGGGATCGCCGAGCCTGGCCGCGCCTGGCTTGCTGCGGTGCGGGGCGATCGCCGGTACACGCTGCTGGGGGGCAGAGCGCTGGAGCCGAATCCGTACATGAGCTTGGATACAGTCGAGGCGTTGACCTAAGGAACCCTAAATTAGGAACGAGGCCCCTTTTTTCCATGAGTTACACTTCGATTCCCTGTCGAAAACAAAAGGAAAACCTGAGGCAAGCTGTGCAACACTTAAGGAACGCGGAGCCCCTCCCCAACGAAAAGGGTTCCTTCTTCAGGGCCCCGACTGAAAGTTTGGATATGTCACGGGCACCGACGGGTCTTGCACCCGAATTGGCATTCCAGAACTCCGGGGGGCGTCTTGGGCGGTGGTGGCGTAGAGTCAAGAAGGGCCCCCCCCCAGGCATCGTTCGCGGGTGCTGTTGGTACGAATGCCCCACAGACCCCACAGGCGGGGAGCGCATGAGCTCCTTGGTCAAAGAAGCCCTCACGATGCAAGCGAGAGCCTGGGTTGATTACACGGCCGCATTAGACCATCATAACAAGGCTCTGTCGCAGCGTCCTGGCGGACAGCTCAAGCATTCTGAGCTGCATAAGCTTGCTGTTGCACCTGGCGACGGGCACCTCTTGCAGGAGTCTCTCAAACTTACGCGTCACCAGGATACCCAGCAGAACTCAACTGACGTCAAGCTTACAGCCAATATTCACCAGACAGCCGACAGGGCTGCGACAGAGGCGCTCGAGACCGGCCAGCCTAGCTTTGACTCCATGGCGGTTGGGGAGCTGTGGGAGCATTTCGCGTGATTAGTGCTGCGGCCAAAGAATGTGCCATGTGTCCCTGCCCTGTGCCAGAAGAACCCGCACCGCAGCGAGCGTGCAACCCTGGCGCGCAAGCAGCATCAGTTGAAGCTGCTCAGTTTGCCGGTGCCCTACGCTTGTGCCGCGCGTTACGCTGCCGCCAGGTCGTTGGACGCCGCTCGGGCGCGAGAAAAAGACAGGCCCGCAAGCCGCTGCGCCGCCTGCCAGGGGAGGTCTGGAGCGCATCCGTATCTCCACTCCGAGGGCGGTCGCAGAGACGGCCAGCAGCCCGCATGTTCTCTGCACGAGACGCGGGTACAACACGCAATACGTGCGGCCGGACCAAGGACGGAAGAACATCGTTCAAAAACGTGGCACTCCGTCGGCCCAAGCGGAAGAACTCCCGAGGGTGCCCCCTCCCAGGATGCACGAAAGCATCCAACAGCACGAAGAATACTAGGATACACTCCCCGAGCTGACCTCGATCTTACACCTCGGTCCGACCGTACTCAGGAACCCACGCGACACAAGGCTTGCCCTCGACCCCCGCCACCAGAGAACGGTGGGCGCACGGACGCCACGAACCGACTGCTCGCTGGCCGCCGCCCCGGGTGTGAAGCCCGAATAAGTGGTCGATGCTCTTGTGCATCGTTTAGCCGATTCCCATCCCCAGGGGCGTGGCCTGGGCCCCACTGGCAGATTCACCCCCCTAGATGGGGATGTAGGCCGTTCCCTTCGGGTTTCGAGGGGTGCATCCCCCACTGGGGTGGTGATTTGGTGGGGGGGTCTCGAAGGGGATGGGGATGGGGATGGGGGTCGGTGAGACGATACTGAGCTCTGAGATCCAAACCGCGCCATCGGCCCTAAAACAGAGCTAGGATAGGGATAAATCGCTCCAGAGCGTTCCGGAGCGCTCTCAGAGCGTTCCGGAACGCTCTGGAGCGGCCGCGGCGTCCAATACATCCTCCAAACCCGCCGATTCTCAGAGATTTCGGGTTATCCCGATCCGATTTTGTCCCGATCTTCGCGTCGTTTTAGGCCCAGCGGCGACGGCTCGGTGCACGCCGCTGACGTGTTGGCCGCAGCCGGCCCCGGCGATCCGCCTCGGGACCACGGCCTGGGCGGCCACCCGCCCGGCGGACTCCGCGCGGGCCGCGTCTCGCCGCCGCGGGGGGTGCCCGCACTCCGTCGGCCACCCGCCGGCTGGCCTGAGAGGCTGCCGCATGCGCTGGCCTCTTCGGCCTGCGCCGAAAGCAGAAGGCCCAACGGGGCGGGGAGGGGACAACACCTCTCCTCCTCCTCCTCCTCCTCCTCCCTCCTCCTCCTCCTCCTCCTCCTCCTCCTCCTCCTCGTCCGCCTCTGCCTCAGCCTGCTGCTCCTCCTCCTCCTCCTCCTCCTCCTCCTCCTCCTCCTCCTCCTCCTCCAGCGCCAGCTCGGATCTGGCCGTCGCCTGGGCGGGGTCAGCGAGCCCGCGCCAGGCGACCCCTGGGCCGCTGCCCTCCCCGCCCGTCCTCTCGTCCGCTCTCCTCGTCTCCACCCCTGGGCCGCGGAATGGTGGCGCCGCCATGGTGCCCGGCGGAGGGGCGCCCGCAGCGCCCTCGCCGGACGGCTGCCGAGCGGCGTGCCCAGGCGGGCCGCGCGCAGGCTCGGGCCGTTCAGGCTTTGCTGCGCGCCTTCAGCGGCATGGAGCACCGCGGCTGCCGCCCCACGCGGCTGGGGGCCGCGCTTCTCGTGGCGCAGGCTGGCGTTCACAATGTCGCGCGAGGTCACCTCCCAGAGGGCTGAAGCTGATGCCGAGGCTGGAGGCACTCTGATAGCCAGCTCGTCCGAGGTTGAAGCCCGTGCAGCGGAGCTGTCAGCTGAGAAGTTCGCCGCCGCAGAGGCCGCGATGGCGGCAGCGCAGGTGGCGGCGCCCACACCCCTCAGCAGCTCGGCGTCGGAGTTCGTCCCGTTCAGCCCGCCGTTCCAGGAGTCGACGGTCGAGGACGGGGGGATCGCAGCTGCGGCGCCTTGGGAGAGGTGCGAAACCCGAGCACGGCTGTTTCGGGATGCTGACCTCCTTCGAGGCGCTGGAGCACAGAGAGGCGCCGTGCCGACTGGCCCACAGATCAACTGGGCAGCCATAGGCGACAGCGGAGCGTTCCCGAGTGCATCGTCGGCATCGCCACCCACAGGTGAGTGCCCGCAGTCGTGAAGGGCAGCGCGCAGGGTAGAGCAGTGTCGTTTGGAATGTTCGTGCAGCGGAGGGCTCTTCACTCCCACATGCTGTTTATATCGTGCCTGTTGGGTAGTGCTTGTACCCTGTCTCGAGCAATGGCTTGAGCGGTGGAATTTGTATAAGGATGTTGCTTCGCAACTGTTCCGATTCCGATTCCGACTGCTCCTCCTCTTCCTCCTCCTCCGCCTCCTCCGCCTCCGCCTCCACCTTCGCCTCCTCCTCCTCCTCCTCCTCCTCCTCCTCTTCCTCTCCCTCCCGCCTTCGTCGTGGTCGTCGTCGTCGTAATCGCCTTGGTGTGACTACGAATCCAGCCACGGTTCGATTACTTTGCTCTGCACACGGCGGAAATCACCAGACCTGGGGTCCTTGCTCTGGACCAGGGTGGGCCGCGGAATTCCCCCCAACGTCATCTTCATCTTCATCATAATCATAATCATAATCATAATCAGCATCAGCATCAGCATCAGCATCAGCATCAGCATCAGCATCAGCATCAGCATCAGCATCAGCATCAGCATCAGCATCATCATCATCATCATCATCATCATCATCATCATCATCATCATCAGCATCATCCTCATCAGCATCAGCATCATCATCAGTATCATCATCATCATCAGCAGCAGCATCAGCATCTACATCATCATCATAATCATCATCATCATCAGCATCAGCATCATCACCATATCATCAGCATCAGTATCATCATCATCAGGATCAGCATCAGCACCATCATCAGCATCAGCATCATCATCATCATGAGCATCATCATCAGCATCATCAGCATCGTGATCATTATCAGCATCAACAACATTATCAGCATCACCATCGCCAGAACCACCATCTTCAGCATCAACAATCTCATCATCAGCAGCATCACCATCATCATCATCATCATCATCATCATCATCATCATCATCGTCGCCGTCATCGGCATCAGCATCAGCATCATCATCATCATCATCATCAACATCATCATCATCAACAAGACAGTGCGGGAAGCGGTCGCAAGAAACCCTCGCAAGAAACCCAACCCTGGAAACCCGCGCGCGAGGTGCACCTGAAGGACAAACCCGAGCATCCTGAACGAATCAGCTTCTTTGACGGCCGCGGGAAGTCACCGCGCAGAACGCGGAACGAAGAAACCCAGGGTACCCTGACGAAACTCGGATGGGTTCTTGATGCGCGCCCCCACTGTATCATCAACATCAGCATCATCATCACATTGCGTGACCAAGTCGTCACCATCAGCACCATCACCACCACAGCCACCACAACCACCAACACCATCATCATCATCATCATCATCATCATCATCAGCATCAGCAGCATCAGCATCATCATCATCATCATCATCATCATCATCAGCCTCTGCATCTTCATCGTCAGCTTCATCTTCTCCATCATCATCATCCTTATCCCCATCATCAGCATCATCATCATCCGCCTCTTCATATTCATATTCAGCTTCATCTTCTTCATCATCATCATCACTATCCTCATCAACAGCATCATCATCATCATCGCCATCGTTATCGTCATCGTCAATGTCATCGTCATTGTCATCGTCATCGTCATCATCACCGCAATCAGCATCCTCAGAATCATTATCATAAGTGTCATCATCATCAGCAGCATCGTCATCAGCATCATGGCCATCACCAACGATTCCATCGTCATCATCGTCCTGTTCATCATTACCACAATCATCATCATTACCACCATCACCATCGCCATCATCAGCTTCGCCATCATCATCAGCAACATCAGCATCATTATCATCATGAGCATCATCATCATCATCATCATCATCATCAACATCATGCATCATCATCAGCAGCATCAGCATCGCCGTCATCATCATCAGCATCAGTGTCATCATCATCAACATCGTCAGCATCAGCATCAGCATCAGCATCATCCTCATCATCATCATCATCATCATCATCATCATCATCATCATCATCATCGCAATGCTCTTCGTTATAGTCATGCTCATCGTCATCATCACCATTATCACCACCATCAACATCATCAGAATCACCCTCAGAATCATCATCCTCAGCATCATCAGCATCAGCATTATCAGCACAATCGTAATCACAAGCACTTCATCAGTTTCAGCCTTCCTCATCAGCAGTATCAGCATCATAATCATTTCTCTAAATCACCACCATCATCATACTCAGCGCCGTCATACTCATCAGCATCATCATCATCATCATCATCATCATCATCATCATCATCATCATCATCATCATCATCGGCAACATCATCATCATCACCGCACTTTCCATTATCATCATAATAATCATCATCAGCAGCATCACCATCGTCATCATAATCATCATTACCACCATCACCATCACCATCAGCATCATCATCCTAATCTTCATCATCATCAGCAGCATCATCATCATGATCAGCGGCATCACCAGCATCATCGGCAGCATCAGCATCATCACCATCACCATCATCCGCGTCATCGTAAGCATCATCATAATCATCATCGTTATCAACATCGTCATTGCCATCAGCAGCATCATCAGCATCAGCATCAACATAATAATCATCATCATCAGCGGTACCAACATGATCATCATAAACATCGTTGTCGGCGTCATCAACGTCATCGTCATCATTATCATCCTCATCATCAGCAGCATCAGCGTCATAATCATCATCATCGTCATCGTCATCTTCATCGCAGTCGTCGTCGGGGAGACCTCCTCCTCTTCATGAATCCTTTCCTGGGCCGGCGCGGGACAACCCGTGGGCGCGGAGGAGAGCGCAAGCGAGGCCCCCCCACAGAGGTTCGAGCATCGCATCGCGACTCGGCTATCTGGACGCTCTTGGCCTGTCCCGAGCCTGCAGAAAACCCCGTCAGATATGAGAGGCGAAGGCGAGGGAGAGGACGCGGCACGGCCCCTGACACGTCTCCTGACGCGCCGCGTCCCCTGGCATGCTCCCGACAGACCCGACACACGTCACAGCCCCAGGACCCTGGCCAGACCCCGACCCTCAGACCATCGGAAACACGATACCACCACTGGCTCCGCGATTCCGATAGGACGCCACGTGGGTCCACTGGACACAAAGATATGGTTCGTTTGTGAGCCTCGGGGCCCACAAGACATAGCAAAACAGGAGCCGCAAACCGGCAATTGCCACAAGAGGAGGTCTCGAAGGAGGGCGGGAGCGCCACCGGAAACTGCACAGGAAAACAGCGCTTCCAATGAGGCGCCCGTGGAAACATGATCATAAAAGGCACGGCTCTCCCGATAGAGCGCCACCGCTGCCTGACCCCAGAAAACGCACCGCCTTCATGCCAACACGCTCGGAAGGCTCCCTGGACGGTCCTGGGACGCACCACTGCCTGGCTCCTGGACGTACCGTCCTCGAGTTCGGGGGCGTCCAAGAGGGGGGCATCCAAGAAGGGGGGATGCAACTCATGGCCCGAGGCATTGAAATAAGAAGAGGCGCCATGAAATCTGGGGAGACATCATGGCCCCCACCACGAGATCCACACACTCCTGGTCACCACCCCCCTCTTGGCTGCCCCCCGACGTGCCGCCCTCGACTGCGCACGCTCGGAAGGCACCCCGGGAAGGTCCCTCGGGGGCGAGCCCGCTGCCTGGCCTCCCGGGACGGTGCCTTCCTCGAGCGGGCGCGCTCGGCCTGCGCGCGCCAGCGCCTGGGCCCCCCACGCGCGCAGAGTCCTCGAGCGGCGAGCACGGGAGAACCTGCTGATCGGTCCAGATCGCCCCTCCTCCTCCTCCTCCCCCTCCTCCTCCTCCCCCTCCTCCTCCTCCTCCTCCTCCTCCTCCGCCCCCTCCTCCGCCCCCTCATCCTCCATTCCCTTTCCAGATACGTAACTTCTCCCTCTCGCACCCCGAGGCCAGGTTTTAGGGCCTGCTGGGCGTTTCGCCTGTCCTCGCCACTCATGGCCCTGCAGCTTAACCATTGGCAACAGTTTCACAGACAGAGGGCGGGCCGTTTCTTAATGTGGCACGCGCCTCAGCGCCGCGCACTTTCGTTCTACAAGAGTTTCACGGATTGAGGGCCACTGCGTTTCAACATGTGGCTCTCGCCTTACGCCGCGCGCAGTCGTTCTAAACATTTGATAGGATGTCACGGCTTGAGGTCGGCTCCGTTCCAACATGTGGCTCTCGCCTTCGCGCCGCGCACATATGTTGCAAAGACTTACAAGAGTTTCACGGATTCCCATGATCAGCGTACCAGACATGGCGTTTTGAAAAGATTCAGGAGTATGAGGGTGCAACATATACGTTGATTGGCGGTGCTGATTTCCAAGGAATGGCGTTCCGGCACGATTCAGGATCGCCAAGACGCAACAGTCAGGTTGATCCGTGGCGTTGGAATCCCGAGAACGATGTTTCGGCATGCATCAAGGTGTTCGAACAGTTGTCTTCCAACGAGACAAATCCCTCAGCGAAAATGAACCCTTGTAGGGGCCTATGAAGAGGGAGCTTGGAGGGAGAGCTGATTCCAACATCGTTGATGACTCTTGGGCTTACACTGGTCCTCCTCCTCCTTCTCCTCCTCCTCCACCGTTTGACCCAGTTCATCAGCATAAAGGCAAGCAAGCCAATAGGGAATGATGCCAGCGCGTGGACACAAACGACTCACTGCTATGGAGCTGCATGTGCGGGGTACCCCCATGCGCGTGGATAGGCCGCCAGTGAATATGCAACATGCGTGAGCCAGTTTTCTCCTCAGACCCGCGATCATCGGTCGCAACAAGTGTCTGGAGCGAACAGCGCAAGCTACATCCCGACAGACGTGTGCACCTCAGCCCGCGGCCCAAGTACCTGCACGATTCGACGCCACTCCGATCGTCGAAACCATGCGGGCGCGGCTCCACGCAGCAGTGAAAGCCTCCCCGATCGAGCATCAGACGCTCTCCAGGTAGAAACCAGTTCAAGGAACCGTCAGCGTGAAACGTAGGTGTCCAGATGTCCTCGTCGGAGGGCTGCTCAAAAAAGGCCAGATGTAATTGGGTCGGAAAATCGCACAGCATCGCTGATGCATCGGCGATGCCCCAGAAACGTCGGACTGGAGAACATCGGGCTGAGAATCGCGCGGCATTGGCGCTGCGTCAACTAACTGACCGAACGCTCCGATCCCATTTACTTACCCTGGAGAGGCCTCTGGAGGCGAAAGAAGGGCAAACACATTCGAAACCTCAGTCCTTCGACTCTGGCTCCATGTGCGCGGCCAGGAGTGTGGACAGGCAATCGAGCATCCCCAGCGCTATAATTCCACAGTCACGCGCGGTCACCCCCAGGGGGACCTCTCCGCCTTGCCAACTGTTCTGTACAGGTTGTCGGAGTACCTGGCGGCCACGCCGGGCTGGCAGAAGTCTTCGCCCGATGGGGTTATGACCAGCTCTGTCGACTCGAGGTAAGACGCTCCAGTCTCGCTGGGCTTGGCCCACTCGAAATGCGTGGTCCGTCTCATGTTATCTGCGGACCATTGCGGCTTTGATGCCCTCAGATACTCCCACTCCCTCGTCTCCATGTTCACCCTCACTGCATAATACGACATGTAGTCTGACTGGCCCATGAACTTCAACCCCGGATTTGAGACCATGATGCTGCTGCAGCTTTCCCCCTTGACCGGGCAATTGCAGGTGAAGCCCTTCGTGCAAGCTGTCGAACATGCCGCCTCTGAGATCACAAAAGACTTGCAGCACCCCGTCCGCTTTCATAGCTCAACGTCGACTGTGCCCCCCATGCAGGTACAGGAATGGCATAACATCCCGATGCTGTGCTGTCTGGCCACGCGCCCGTACACTCCAGGCAACGCGGTTCAAAGGCGCTCAGCATCATCCCCCGGACACGTCTGGTTCCTCTGCCCCCCTACCCCCTTCCGTCACCCTCCCTGATTCAACGGGTGGGGGTCGAACCCCTCCCCCCCAACCCTTACCAAAAAAGGGGTTCCAACCCCCCCCACCCACCCCGCTTTCTCGCTACAGACAAACGACGATGACGGGCGCCGGCAAACGACGACCGACGACGAAGCACGAACGGAGACGACAACGAGGACGCAGGACGACGACAACGACGACCATGACGAAGATGATGGCAACGAACGTACAACGACGACGCCGGACGACGACGACAACCGACGACGACAACCGACGACGACGGCGACGACGACGACGACGACGTCGACGACGACGACGACGACGACGGACGACGACGACAACGACGATCACGACGATCACGACGCGGGCGGGCGTTTCGGTCGGGCGGGCGGACCCCAATGAGAAGGGTCGGGTTTAGCGGGACATGAAAGGATTAGTGCATGATCGAGTTGGTACGCGAAAACCTTCACGAGCGAGTTGGGTCGGCCGGACGGGACATTGAAGCACGATGCGTACTCGAACTCGCACGCGATAGCCTGCCGTTTGCCGTCGTACTCGTCGTTGTTTGCAGGTGCCGGCGCCCGTTGTCGTCGTTTGCCAGCGGCGAATAAGAAGCATAAGGGGGGACGTCGTCGCCGTCGTCGTCGCCGTTGCCGTCGCCGTCGTCGCCGTCGCCGTCGTCTTCCTCGTCGTCGTCGTCGTCGGTTCATGGTGGCGACTTGCGGGGGACAGAAATGCTCATTCGTGCTTTTACAAAAACCATTTCTTCTGGGCGCATACCACTGCGTGCATCCCCCTCTCGGGCTTCCCAGGGCGCTCCGACGCGACCCAGGGGCCCTCGACGCCTCCAAGATGCCCAGCATGGCGGCCAAGACGGACGAGCAAGATCACCACATCCAGCGACGCTGGCGTATGTAGGAGACGGATTTCTGACCACACCCACTTCCCGAGGTGCCTTGCGAAAAGCGGTTCCCAGAGGTGGAGGTGGGCAGTTTCCCCACCCCAGGGGAAGGAAAAACTACCCACTTCCACCCCCGAGGGCCTATCATAGAATCGAGGATCCAGAGGTGGATGTGGTCAGAAAGCGGTCTTCGAGTAGGCGCCCAGGGCAGCCGAGAGCCAGCGCCTGCGCGCAGGTGTGCTGCGTTCCGCGCGGACGCGACTTCCGCGCCCCCGCCAAGCCCGCGCGCGGCAGGGCGAGCCGCGCCCGCGGGCCACCTCCTCCCGCCCTCGCCCACTCCTCGGCGCGCCGCCCCCACGAGAAACGTGGCGCGCGCGCTCGCTCTCGGCGCGCAGACCCCGCGAGGAGGCCGCGCGCTCGCGGGCGCGCGGCTCTGCAGGTCGGCGCACGCGGTTCGCAAGCGACGCGCGCCCTGATCTACTGTCGTATATATTTCCCTCGCGGCTCGCGCGGTCGCGCTCCGCAGGCGCGCCGCGGCGATCGCGACGGGGCGCACCGAGGCGCGCCTGGTGAGCTCGCGGCGCGCCTGGCGCGCGCCCGCGTCGCACGTCAGGCCGCGCTGCGCCCGAGGAGCCGGGCGCGTGCGGAGTTGTCCCGCCCTGTCATTCACGGGGTATCTGCGCCCTTGGCGCCCCTCGTGTCGCTCAGCCTGGCCGCGACTGGCCGTGCGGCGCGCTGGGTGCCGCACCCCTGGCCGAAAGGCTGATGGCACCCGCGGGCGCCGCAGAGCTGAGGCGACCCCGGAAGTGGTGCTGACGTCTTCGGAAGGGGGGGCCAACGGCCCTCAGCAAGACCTCGAGAGGCGCTCAGGAGACCCCAAGATGCGCTCAAAATGCCTGCAGAGGCGTCCATGGGGCCCTGTGGGAGGCCCCTGGGGGGCCCCAGGAACCGAAAAATGCTGAATGGTCAACGCGTTTGCCTCACGCCGCCATCCGTCCTCAGACACCTCAGGCCCGAGATACCCCCAGGCGGCGCATGAGACACTGCGCCCGGTGGCCCCAAAAGACGGCTCGGGACCACCGCGGCCCACGAGCAGCCCACGGCGGCCCCCAGGAGGCCCGCCAGGACGCCCCCGGAACCCTCCGAGGCTGCCGTGGGCCCCCCCACAGATCTCACAGAATTGAAGGGGCCCACAAACAGAAATAACAAAATAAATGCATACAAAGAACAGGATTCCCCGAATTTCCTTGTGTTGTCTGGGTTTTTGTCTTCCCCCCCACTTCCCATAGTTTCCCACATGTTCTGAGAAGTCGACGAGTCATTGTGTCTGTGTGTGTTCTTTCCCCTCCTGAAGACTAGCTCCCGACGACCCCTGGTGACAAGACGCAGATAAAACGACGCGAAGATCGGGACAAAATCGGATCGGGATAACTCGAAATCTCTGAGAATCGGCGGGCTTGGAGGATGCATTGGGCGCCGCGGCCGCTCCAGAGCGTTCCGGAACGCTCTGAGAGCGCTCCGGAACGCTCTGGAGCGATCTATTCCGATCCTAGCCCTGTTTTAGGGCCGATGGCGCGGTTTGGATCTCAGAGCTCAGTATCGTCTCACCGACCCCCATCCCCATCCCCATCCCCTTCGAGACCCCCCCACCAAATCACCACCCCAGTGGGGGATGCACCCCTCGAAACCCGAAGGGAACGGTAGGGGGATGCAGACGTGGTGGGGGCGTCCTGTAGCCCCGCCGCGTGCCCCTCGCCCGCCTCTGGCCAGGGCGGGCGCACCTCGCCTGCCCCTCCGTGGCAGCCGCGGGGTGCCGCCCACCGCAGCCGAGGAGCCCACACTGATGGGCCTGCTTTCCACCACCACCACCAGAAGTTGGAGGAGGAGGAGGAGGAGGAGGAGGAGGAGGGGGAGGAGGAGGAGGAGAGAGGAGGAGGAGGAGGAGGGGAGGAGGGGGAAGAGGAGGAGGAGGACGAGGAGGAGGAGGAGGAGGAGGTCGAGGAGGAGGACCCCCTCCCCCTCCAACTTCTGGTGGCGGTGGTGGAAAACAGGCCCATCACAAAGTGAATGCCTCCAAGGAGCCCCTCCACCGGGCCGCGGGCGCCCCAAAGCCCGCGAAACCGCGTGCCGCGGCCCTCTGGACCGCTGGGCTGTGCTCCGCCACAGCCACCGCTCTGCCACAGCCCCGAGACCAGCCCACGCGTCCCAAGGGCGCTTCCACCGGGCCGAACCGATAGAGCACGGTAAAACCGTCGCGCCCAAGACGGCCCCGAGATCCTCACTGGGCCCCAAACCGGGCCCCCATCAGACCATCTCATCAAGAGACCCTGACGAGGGCCTCGGAGACGCCGCCGAGAACCCTCCATGCACCATCAAGAGGGAGGAGGGAGGAGGATCACGGAGAAGGGAGGACAACGTGGCCGAAGACAAGAAGGGGGCGGTCAAAACGCTGGTTCTTTAAGACATGGCACGGATTTGGAGTGGGAGTGTGCCGCAGGCAGCAAGATATAGGGCCTTGCCGCAAGCAGCTCGGTAAAGGAGGTTAGCAGTCGTCGCGTCAGCCTACAAATCTCACATACTGCGGCCTTGTATCCGCTTGGAAGTCGAAGTGCTCCAACTTACGTGCCTCTGGTATATGGAGCGGACAAAAATCGCATGTTACAGCTCTCCAGGCGCTGGGCAAGATAACTACTTCATGCCACGGCGGTCACGGGCTGGCTGAAGAGTCCGTCGCATGTTACGCGCCTGGATCCGAGGCATAAGCTGTGACATGTAGTGCCATGCCCTTCTGGACAGCGAGGGATCAGAGACGGGTGCGTGAACGATGGTGTGTAGGTAGTTCCCGCTTTGGCGATACCATTCCGCTTGATTGCAATCACTCCCAATCGCAAGTTCACTATCATGCGCAGTCCAACTCACGCGCACACTGATATTCTCGTCACTCGCCCGCATTCACTATCTGACGACACTCTTACTATACTACGCTTAGGTCGGGCATGTCCCCCGACAAGCGGACTTTGAAGGAAAAACCAAACATAGTCAAAACAAATCCAAAATGGCAAACAAATAGTCGAAACATCGTCACCAGACTATTTTTCATTTTTCCCCACATGTTTCGTAAGGGTTCTGGTTTTCTTCCCTGCCGCGCCGCACCCGCGACACTCACCCTCACACCCCTCTCTCCGTCTCTCTCTCTCTCTCTCTCTCACACACACCTCACTCTTCCCCTCCTCCTCACAGCACTGCTCAGCATAGCTCAGCTCAGCTCAGCTCAGCTCAGCACGGCACAGCTGAGCACAGCTCAGCTCAGCTCAGCTCAGCTCAGCACAGCACAGCACGGCACAGCACAGCTCACCGCACAGCAGCACAGCATAGCACACAGGGCATTCCTTCGACGCCACAGGGGGTGCGCTTGGGGTGGGGGCCCTGTGCAATGCAGGCCCCCAGGGCGTGGCAGGCGTGGCATTTCCTGGGCGCCACAGGGGGTGCGCTGGGGGTGGGAGCCCTATGCGCTGCAGGCTCCCAGGGCGTGGCAGGCGTGGCATTTCCTCGACGCCACAGGGGGTGCGCTGGGGGTGGGGGCCCTGTGCGCTGCAGGCTCCCAGGGCGTGGCAGGTGTGGCATGTCCTCGACGCCGCAGGGGGTGCGCTGGGGGCGGGGGGGGCCCTGTGCGCTGCAGGCTCCCAGGGCGTGGCAGGCGTGGCATTTCCTGGGCGCCACAGGGGGTGCGCTGGGGGTGGGGGCCCTGTGCGCTGCAGGCTCCCAGGGCGTGGCAGGCGTGGCATTTCCTCGACGCCACAGGGGGTGCGCTGGGGGTGGGGGCCCTGTGCGCTGCAGGCTCCCAGGGCGTGGCAGGCGTGGCATTTCCTCGACGCCACAGGGGGTTCGCTGGGGG